AGTAATAAATTCTCATACAATCCTGAATTAGGTAATATATTCTCACATAATCTGAATCCAGAGGTTTTGAGATATACATCACTGATGGCAAAGATGCACAACCCTTCACAGTTTTTATCTTTAGATTCAGTTCCTTCTAAATGAAGAGTTGAAAGTTAGTTTTACTTTGGAGGCAACTAAGACGTAGCAACCAAACTTCTGAGGAAGGCAGCTATCTTGAATGTTATCTTCTCCCAGCACAGTGACCCAGCTATAGCCATGCTTATCCCAGATTCTCCAAGGGAAACGGGAAAACAAAAAATATTCCAAGCCCTGAGTCAAGCACAGTCTCCCAGGCAAGTGAGGCACCAGCTTGATGATATGCTGTTCGGGCTGGAGCTTCGGACCGTAAATTCCTCCCAGACTTGAGAAATTTTCCCAAGAATCACAGAATCATAGAATTTCCCAGGCCGGAAGGGACCTCCAAGGGTCATCTAGTCCGACCCCCCCACAGTCAGCAGGGACTCCCCCAACTAGACCAGGTTGCCCAGGGCCTCGTCGAGCCTCGCCTTGAATATCTCCAGGGATGGGGCCTCAACCACCTCCCTGAGCAACCTGTTCCAGTGCTCCACCACCCTCACAGTGAAGAACCCTCTCCTCATCTCCAATCTAAATCTGTTCCCCTCCAGCTTAAAGCCATGGCCCCTCGTCCTGTCACTACAGGCCTTTCTAAACAGAAGAAAAGCATTGCATAAGAACTCCCAACCAGGTACCTCCCTATACCAGAACCACGATAGTTCTGTGCAGCTTGGGGTGCCTTATGCCTGAGGAAGCATCTCTTTAGTAAGAGGTGTCAAATGAAGGTCTTAAAGTTCCTGGTAAAAACACCCTGAGAGGATGCCGTCACCAGCTGGGCTGCTCAAACCCCACCCCTCCAGGATCCAAGTACAAAAATCTATGATTTGAGGCTTTTTTAAAACTGCAACCTTGCCATTGCAAGCTCTTTACAAATCCAGATTCCAGTAACGGAACCACCTCCTTCAGTTACAAAGCAAACAAAAAGGGAAAAAACCTTCCAAAGTAACCTCATACAAACAGCAAACGCCTCATTGCTTCACGTGTCTTGTGCCTGAATTGCTTTGGGGAAAGAGCAGGGGTTCCAATAACTGAAAACTCCAACTGTTTCTCAGTTTCTGGAAGAAGAAACCCCCACATCAGTGTTCACCTTCACATTATCGTAAATAGAGATTGCACTTTTTAAGCTAGTTTGTAAAATAAGGGTCTAACTGGTTGTGAACTGGACCAGCAGATAAAAGACCAGCACGTGGAAATTGCTGCAGGCAGTGACTGCCATGGTGACTCTGACAAGTCACAACACTTTCTGTGCCTCAGTTTCCACATCAGGGTTTAAAGGAACTGAACGTTTTAGTAATTTCTGATTGAAATGCCCTGCAGAAAAAAATAAATTTATAATAATTGAGTCAAATGTGAGATTTAGGAAAAAAAGTTGCAAAAAAACCACCCACTTCCACTTTACATCATTAGATCTCCTTTGTCCTAAAGGCTACAAGGTGACACTGAGATTGTGTCAGAAACCCAAATAGATCTTTCCCCGAAGAAGCAATGAACAGAACAGGGACCTCACAGCACTAATGGAGAACTGTCAAAATGACAGATTGCTCTATTTCAGTGACCACACAAAATTGCTCAAGACAATCAAAATTAATGATTCTGTAAATACATCCTTTACAGTCACTGGTGCTTCTTCTCCTACAACAGAGGAGCACTTTGAGGGGTTTGTAGGTTATGTTTTGGGGTTTTTTTCTTAAACTTTCTTACAGCCTAGCAACTTAAATACTTGTTATTGGGTTTTCCATCAAGGAGAGAAGCCATCTGTGTCTATCATTCTGTATTTTACAGCTCATGTCACAGACCAGAGATGTATCATGCCACAAGTTCCTTCCACACTCATAGAAGTCCATTACAAAATATCCAAGTCTTCCTCCCTCAGCATTAAGCCATAATTCTGCTCTCACATACAAAATTACAGCTCCCTTGACTGCCTCTAATATTATTGCCCCTCCTTAGGGGGGGATTTACCAATAGATGCAAAAAGTAGAAGAAAAAAATAGTTCTGAGTTCAAAGGTATGAAAGGATTCTCTTCAGGAATGGCCACATCAAGTTTTCCCAGTGTATTTTACCAGGAGAAGTGCTCAGGGGTTTATTTCACCAATACCTTAAGAACAACCACCAACTTCAGCTTCTTTAGGTCCAGCACATGGGGTTTTATTATCTGCTTTCTGTATATTCTGTATCATTTAATTGTTGGAAAGACACACCGAGGGGCTATCCCTTAGTTGCAACAATTGCTCCTCAGCCTATGGGCTGTTCTGATCATATTCACAGCCTGCAGATATTATTGCCCCTCCTTAGGTGGGGGGAACTTACCAATAGATGCAAAAAGTAGAAGAAAAAAATAGTTCTGAGTTCAAAGGTATGAAAGGATTCTCTTCAGGAATGGCCACATCAAGTTTTCCCAGTGTATTTTACCAGGAGAAGTGCTCAGGGGTTTATTTCACCAATACCTTAAGAACAACCACCAACTTCAGCTTCTTTAGGTCCAGCACATGGGGTTTTATTATCTGCTTTCTGTATATTCTGTATCATTTAATTGTTGGAAAGACACACCGAGGGGCTATCCCTTAGTTGCAACAATTGCTCCTCAGCCTATGGGCTGTTCTGATCATATTCACAGCCTGAATTGGCTCTGCATTGATGTCAGGCACCTCCTATTGGCTTCTGATTATCTTGGTTACACTTGTCTGGAAAAGACACAAATTATATGCTGCGTTTGCCCATCAGTCCAAATCTTAATCTTAAGAGGATAAAAACCTGGAAAAGACACTTAAATTATACTCTGCGTTTGCCAATTAGTCCAAATCTTAATCTTAAGAGGATAAAAAAACAACTTTTCCTAATTGAAAATGGTGTTAATATTCAGACACTTCCTTTACTTCTCTGCAACAACTGCAAGCTTCTGGATGCCCAACTTTTTCCTAATTGAAAATGGTATTAATGTTCAGACACTTCCTTCTCTGCAACAACTGCAAGCTTCTGGATGGCTGCTTTGGGCTGTGCACTGCTATTGCACAGCCAGATGCTGATTTAGCATAAAAAAACAGGCACAAAAATAATTTAAATTGGACCTGAAGGAACATAGTAAACTTATTAATCCATTTTCTCCCTTTTCTGACATTCTCTAACCCCAAAACAGGCTCAGCACTGCCTAACCCATTTGTCACTGATACCCACCTGAGAACTGACAATTTTCATTACAAATACTAAGCAGTTTCTTTCAGAGCTAAACTGCAAGAGTGAAAGACTTACAAAATATTTGTCTCTACTGACTTTCCCATTTATTGTTCAGATGGGCCTAACAACCTTTAGAAAATGCAAGCCAATGCCATTGCTCCATCCAAGTTTCCTTCCCGTTGGAAACAGTACACCTTTTCCTTAGCCCTACAGGGAAGTGAAGCCATTACAGATACAGGAAGAGATTCTTGATAGAGCTCCCACTTCCTCCCAAAACTTAAAAAAAAAGGAAAAAAGTATTTTCTTTTAGGTTAAGGCAGCCCAAATCACTCGTCGTGTTCCCAGCCTCAGAGACCACAGTAGGCACACACAGAAAGCAGCCCTTACATTCTTGGCATCTTGATTCTCCACCTGTGAAAGGGGCATAATAATGCCCTTCAGTTTCTTACAGCCATATTACAATAATAACTTTATTAAATCCCATGAGGTGCTTGTCTATTGCAATATCATGGACCTTAATGAGGTAGAGCTTCCTCAGAGCCAGCGACATTGCATGGTAACAATAAGTTTGTTCAGCAATAAGGGAGATTCACATGCATTGGAAACCAATCTTTAATTACCACTTCCTGCAAACAGAAATAAGAGATCATTTAACTCCTTGCTAAACGTATAGCTTTGTCCTTATAAGCAACCTTCCCTTCTGTAGCTAATTTTCACATATGGACACCCAGGATCTGCAAGTGCATCCGTTTCTTTCCGATCTTTGTGTTCTTAGATTCTTCTTCAGATGGTGGGATGAGAATAGCTGCCTTCACACTTGACAGAAGCCTAAGATAACATGACTCTGAAAAAACAGGCAAATTCTCATAGGGGGCAGAATACCAGCTAGAAGAGGAGGCTTAGAGTCCTGGCAGAAGGAACTGGCATCGATTGTTCCCTACCACATTCAGGGAGACAGGTCTGTGCTCACCTTCTTGGAACATTCTGTGTGTGCTCCCAGTAAAGAGGAGACCAGAGCAAAGAAATCCCTGCTCTGCCCTCAGCAGTTCCTCCTGAACACTCACAGCACTGGGAGTGCTGGTGCAGCACTGGGGTCAGGAGAGGTACCAACCTGAAAATTTATATAGTGTGAACTTTAGCAGGGAGTTACACTAGCTCAATAAACCAGAGGAGGGAAAAAAAAAAATAAATAAAACCAGACACCAACCACCTTCTCCCCCATTCTAAAGCCAGTTCTGGAAAAGAAGAGTGAAATAAAAGGGAGATCACATGCCTGTCCTGCCCTTGCTTTTACTGCCTCAGTTAAATCAGCTGGATCTAACTCCAGCTTCCCAAGCCGTAGTGTAAAATAACTCTGTGCTGAGCCTGCAACAATCTATAAATCAGTGTGTTTTCAAACAAGAAGCCATTCCCATCCGTTGCACCCAAAAGCTGCCAGCACTCTCAGAGCTGGAGGGTTTCAAAAGGTTTGCACCTCTCTGGCTTCCCGCTCCTCCTGCCAGCGCGGCAGCCAAGCGACCTGGCGGCAGATTTCAGAAAAGCTGGAGGAAACTTCGGAGGAGCCGCAGCGGCACGGAGCCTGTGCTGCTTCCAGTGCCCAGCCCTGTCTGCTGCCGTGCTGCAACCCCTCCTCCTCCTCCTCCTCCTGCTGCTGCTGCTCAGGAGCGTTCGCCCGGTGCTGGGAACCACACACGCTGAGCTCCCAAGTTTGAGCATGGCTCGGAGAAGACCAAGAAGCCGGAGGTCACAAACTCCTGCAGACCTGGGGGCTGACACCTCTTCTAGGAGCCTTCTACTTCCCAAGCACTTCATCTCTGCCGAGGAAAGGGCAGACACAGCCCAAAGGCACTCACACCTGGAAGGATCTTTTTTGGGATTCTACTGCTGTTAAGAGAGCCCTGCAGACCTGCTTGCAGCCACAGGGGAAGATTCTTCGAAACAAGCAAGAGGCTTTCGAAGTGGGGAGTGGAAGGAGGCAGTTTTTCCCCTCCTTCCCTGTTTGGGAGAAAGGAGTTGCCCAACCTGGTCATGAGACTTTTCCATCCTTCCCAAAGCGGGCTCCTGGAGTTGGGACACGGCACCACTGAGAGCCTGGGGTAGAGTAGCCCACAACAGCCCCCAGCAGCACACCCCCAGCACGGACAATCTGGTGGGCACAGGAGATGGAGAATGAGGTTGGCAAGTCTGTGGACAATCAAATGGACAAATACATGTAATAATTTGGAAGTTTTCTTTCTCTCTGCTTTTAATTCTCCTCCCTTTTTCTCCCTGATTTGTCATGCATTTATGCCTCTATTGATTTAGCTGTGCTGTTAATTCTTTTTTACCCTCCCCTCCTCAATTTAGAGTTACAATAATGGGGAAATCAGAAAGTCAAATGGATATTGTGGAAAAATCAACAAAATCTGGGAAGAAATCCTGGAGCTTTGTGGCAATTGGTCTGGCTGTCTTGCTGCTCCTCATGACTTGTGCAGTGGTCGCCCTGGTGATCCTGTATGCCAGCAGCAGAGGTAAGGAACCCATGAATAATTCTCCTCTTCCCTTTGCAAACAACATACAAGTCTTTTTACAGAGCTAAATGAAAACACAAATACAGGGAGACGGTGAAGTCACCTCTGTGAGGGACTTGGCTATCCCTGCCTTGTTCCAAGCTCATGCACAGAGGGGATTATGTTGAATTTGATTTAATTTTTAAATTATGTAATGTTAGATTCTATGGTTTTAATTAATTCTATGCATTTTATTGAATTCAGCATAGTTTTGAAAAAGGTAAAAAAAATATTGCACAATTTTAGAGGGAAAGCTGTGTGCCTGTGTAAGCCTTGACATTTCCTTATTTCATAGAAGCCTCAGTCAAAATTCATTATTGCTGGGAGTTATAAAGCAACAGCTGCTTAATACATCTAAAGGGGAGGTTGCTTATTATGATGTGAAAGCTTTTGGTTTGTTTTTTTTTTTTTAAAAAAAAAGCCAGTGTGCTGCTGAGGAAATTGACTTATTATGATGTGAAAGCTTTTGGGTTGTTTTTTTTTTAAAAAAAAAGCCAGTGTGCTGCTGAGGAAAGGGAGCAATTTGATTTCTAGGTGAGATTTGGTTCAGTGACTTTCATGCAAATGTCATGCTTGGAACCTGACACTGGGGCATATTCCTGTGAGGTGCTTTGCCTAAATGGGAACTGCAGAACATCCTTAGTCTCAAAACTAAGTTTTTCCACTAGCACACCAAATGCAACGTCTTATTTTAAAACCCCACGAAGCAATCAACATGATTGGTAGCAGCACCTGCCTCTCATTTGTCATTGCTATGAATGCCTCTTGGATTCAGAGCTTTTTTTAAAAAACACTCGGGAATAAACCCGAGAAGTAACGAATAGCAAAACTGAAGCAAAGAATTGTTCCCTCCTTACATTGTCTCTGCATCCCCTGCCTGCAGGGAACTGCTTTCTTCAGCACTTGTAAGTACAATGCTGCACAATTCTGAGCAAAAATTCATGAGAACAGCCTTTTTATTATCTACTGCTTTTGCTACCAGCAATGAATGTTACCAGCATTTTTTCCCAGTGTTAGAGGAAATCTCTGAGTATTTGGCATTCATCACACTCATCAGAAAGTTGCTTATATTTATTCTCCTAGCTCAGGAGACAGGAGGAAAAAAAAAAAATCCCTAGGGCTAGGTCCTAGAGTAGGAGTTTCTGTATCAAAACACTGAGCTGTGCAGAATTGTGTTGCTTTCAGGCATAAAGGATTTGAGAAGTCTGCTCTACATCTTACTGCCTGGGCTCAGGCACAGTGGAATTCAGGTATTCATAATATTTACCCAAATGCTGGTGTCTCATCCAAAGCCATGGGAAAAGTGTGCACGTAAAGCAAGTGCTATTACTTTTTTTTTTTTTGGATGAGTCTTATCTGGGAGAAAGCAGTTCCAAAATCTAAATATTTTGCAGGCTCATTTCACTAGAAATGTTGCCCAGATTCAGACATTCCTAAGCAAAACGTGAGTGCAAAGGGATGGTGGAGCTGATAAGCTGCTCGTCCTGCACGGCTCCTCCTGGCTGCTTGCTCCTGCCTCAGAGGAGTGTTCTCAGCACCAACCCAGAGCCAGCTTCTCCCCCTCCCAGGTCACATTTAAGTACATATAATTGAACCACTGCGACAGGAGACACCACAATGTACCCTCAAACAACCTTTAGGGGATCCACAGGTAGGAACGGATCAGCAGGAACTTCAGTCTACACCATCTTTGAGATGAGTGTCTCTGTGCACTGCTTGGCTCTAACACGGAAAGTGAGAGCTCTTCAGTGCAACCAGTGAGTGTTCCTGCAGAACAGGAACCTTTTTTGGCTTGAAAATTTCATCCAAATACTCCACTTGGTTCTGTTTTGATGTTACATCCAGGCTCATCCCCAGGCAAATCGTTCTCAGACTTCCCAAGTGAAAAGCGCGTATTGCTCAAAACTGTGCAGCATAAATATAAATCCTACACAGCAACAGGAAAAAAAGAAAAGGTAGCTGAGCAGCATTCTTGTGATAGAACCAAGATTCTTTAAATTTCACTCAATTGTTAATTTTGAGATGTGTATGGGATGCTGAATTGTTTACTAAGAGCAGATTCAGATTCAGCACTTCATCCTTGTACATCCTTTATCAGATTGACTCTACCCACAGAGGCTTCTATAAAATAATTCTGTTAAGCTAATGGAAAATTAAAAGGATTACCTGCTCTGCCTTATGTTCTCTATTTATATCTGAAGGTTTTGTGGTTCAGGGAATATATTTTTGTTCTGCTTGTTTACAGCTTGCAGGAGAGCACTGTGGTGCATGAAACAGCCTCTGGTTACAGCAATAATGCCTGTAATACCTGTTAATACTGACCAATCTTTATCTATACAGCCAGACAGCAAAACCAGAAACTCTCACAGCAATGCAGTTATGTAGTTCTAGAAGCAGTTTGGTGATTTTTTTGACATCCAGAGAAGTTTTCATACCCATAAAACCTTGTCTAAATAACCTAAAGGAAAAATATGGTAGGAATAGCAGAGCAATATTTGGGTGATCATAGAAAGGGAGGCAGACAGAACTGAAATCATTCAGTTTTCAATCTGAATGCACCATGCTCTCAATCTTTCCATCACACCCACACGTACATCTTTGCAGCCTTTTCACAGCTCGCTCTCAGTTCTGTTCTACAAATATTTACTAAACTCCAGCTCTCATCACTGGTTGGAAAGGTTACAGTCTGAAGAACATTTCAACACCTCTTGTAGCTGACACATCCAGTCACAGTCAGTGACTTCTCCAGACAACTTTGAGTTACAAACAGCTTACATTCTCCCCTAACTGCTGGTCCTGACTATTCAAAAAGTCACATTATTAGTTTAATTGAGGTTTTATTCTCTTTCTGGCTTCCAAGTTTGCAGGGTTTCTCACAAGTAAGATTCGCAGATATGTTTTTTTTTTGTGTCTGCATCCCCACAGGTTGTCCTCTCTCACAAGTAAGATTCGCAGATATGGTTTTTTTGTGTCTGCATCCCCACAGGTTGTCACTGTTCACATCTATTACACAGACTGCCAGGCAGGCTACAAACAAACAAACAGAGAAATACAACACTTGGACTAAGCAGCACCTTGTTCCGGGAGTGGATTTCAAAAAGCGATGTTATCCTCCTGCATTTCCTGGGCTGTGAATGCAATTAACATGCACTTGAATAATAGATTCGCAAGAACCTGCTGACTGGGGGCAGTATCTAAACTGGTCACTGGGACACTGAGAAGTGGTTGTGGCTGAGGTCTGGCTTGTCTCCTAGACTGGTGCCTACTCAGTCTTTGACTTTGTTAACGTTCATTAACGAGGCATCTATTCAAAGGAGATGGAGAATTTAAATAAGTGGCAGTAACACAAAAGTCATGAGGAAATGACATTTGGGTGGTGAGACTCTGCTCAGTTCTACTCAGAGCTACACGAATGTGAAGCAGGAATGGGGAGTGACAGGCCCTACAGGGCTGCAAAAGTAGGGAAATACTCTGTATACTGATTCTCCCATGAAATTCTGTCTCAGCCATGCTTATAGGTAGACTGTAGGTAGGAAATCATAGGAAAGGTGGAATAAAAATTAAACACTTGTGTTATGGAGTCCATTTGAAGACACTGACATCTGGTACAGGCAGCCCTCTCAGAGGAGGAAGACCTAAATTTGGCAATTACATTACTTGTTGCAAACAATTCACTGTTACAATCCCAACAAAGGCAGTCTGCAGTGCTGACAGCACTTCTGCCCACCAATCCCTGTGAGAAATAGATAAGGTGCTGAGAGGTGAAGCTCACACTTGACTGCCTGATGACAACCACAGAGCTAATTGTTTCCATGTGTGCCATCCCCAGCCATCTGGGGTCCACAAAACACAGTGGGAAAACACTAAACACAAACTGTGTGCTCCAGAGACTGCACAGAATGATTTGCTTCGCTTTTGTTGCCTAAAAAGGAACTTAATCAGGCTGTGAAAAACACCTTGTCTTTTAAAATAATTGTCATTCAAAGGAGCTGCCAAAGACGACTGCGGTGCTGTGCAGGTCTCAGAAGTTATTCTTATATCCTGCTGCTGACCAATAATGCAATACTATTCAGTGCCTTCTTGTAAAGTCAAATTAAGACAATAGAATTCTCTACAGTGGATCCAGTGGGGTCTGAAGCATGTACCAGGGGAGCAGTTAACCTCTGAAGTACTTATTTTCCCTCATTTTCTTCCATCAGGAGTAGTCCCACAGCTAAGGTCATTTTATTTAGCTCCATTAAAGCTTCCCTTCCTTTATCAATTATCTGATGGTGCTCTCTCAGACTGAAGAAGAGGAAAACCTTCAGTCTTCAAAGGGTTCCTTGGTTCTTTTCTACTTACAAGACTATCAACAGAGCAAGAATATCACTTTTTTAATGAAGTAAATGCAAGGGTGATACTGCAGAGGTCCTGAAATTTGAGAGCCATGAAGGAGCTTAGTACCTCAAAAAGTACTTCCAGGGATGAAACCTTCCTGGCCCATTTCTGTTCTTTTGATATCCCTCTTTAATAGTTCTAGAAGGTATAGCCCAGAAAAGGTCTCTCAGAAGAAAGAGGTGGGAAAGTGGAGTGATTGATTTTATAAGAGGAAAAAAAAAATAATAATAAAATCACTGTAAGAAGCTGGATCCTAGATGAACTTGGCCAAGGGAGAAGACAAGTGGCAGGTAAGGGTTGGTAGAAGAGGCAAGCCTTGATTCCCCACAAACCCTTCTTCACTTTCTGTGCAGCAGGGGGAACATGGGATTCAGAGCTGAACAATCTGTGCCAGTTTTCCTCTACTACAAATTACCATTTTTATGCTTTACATTGTCAAACACAGCCCATGTCCCACTTCAGGTTTTACATGCAGAAGTTTCCCATCACATCCATCTAAACCCTGCTAGACATTTTCGTTTCCACTTTTAGGCTTTGTAGAATATGGACCTGAGTTGTCCCTCCCACATCTGTACTTGCAGCAGTCTTTCTGCATGGATGTCTCTCATTATAGCTCAACCTATCAGCAATATTTAACCAGGGAGGAAAATATAAATATATAGAAAAATGCCTATATTTATACTGAAAGCTTGAACAGTTGTTTTTAGCAAAGTGGTTTGAAAAAAATTAAGGGCATAGAGTTGGCAAGCTGGCACTTTGAAGGTGCATTTTATAGTTGTTTCTAGTTATTTGAAGTACAGGAGGTGCCACAGACAGAGCCTGAGTCAAGTGAGCAAAGACCCAACAAACATATTGTGAAGTAGAACAGGGCAGTGTTGGTCATATCTCCCACAGAGTCAGGTTGGCTTGTCCTTTGTCAGGAGCAGTACTGAGGCGTAAGAGAAATAATTGATAGAAAAAACAAAGGAGCCACTTTTAGAAGTAAACTGAGAGCCCCTCACCAGCCACTTCCAGTGATCTGGTTTCGTGGCAGAGTTTCAGAGCCCCGAGTGTGCAACCAAGGTTTCAGAACAGATTTGGCTTCTCTGCTTATACAGCTCAGTTACATTTTCACAATCACCAGGGCTTTTTTAATGTGTGGAGTTACAATCTTGTTGAAAGCAGTTGCATTCCAGAAACTGAAGTCAGACATTGTCAGGGTATGTTAAAAAGAGAAGCTTTGATTAAAAAAAGTTTCATTTGAGTCCTGCCTGGTCCCTGAGAAACAGTGAGAAAGAAATAACTGTGCTATAAGTACGCTGTGTTTTTCTCACCTTGCCCATTGCTTTCTCCTTGATGGAAAATTTCCACATGCCTTTGAACTACAAGTTTCTTTTCCCCAAAAGCTTTTCTTGCATCTTGGAAATACTCTGGGCTTTTAGGGTTGTTTTTTCTTAATTTGGGCGTTTGGTTATCATTGTTTGTGGGTTGGTTTGTTGTTTGGTTTTTTTTAATTATTAGGGAGTTTAGGAAACTTGGTGCAACTTGGGCTTCCCATTGTTGGGTGTATTTTGCTTATCCTGGGTTCAGATTGCTAGACACTGAACCACACGAAGGCGTGCAGTTATTCTAATGCAGATCTACTCCCACACAGCACGACAGCGCTCGCCTGAATGCTACGTTCCCAATCACAGTGGGGGCTTTTTATGTTGCTTCCACTGATGAACTTCAAAGCCTTCTTTTCTTCCCTACTGTTTTATTTCTATCTGAATTACTGTAATCTTGTTTGCTCTCACGTAAAACACTTGTTTTCATTGGAAGGATTTTTTTTTATCCTTTAAGTAACTCTTTTCGCTAAGATGCAGACATCTTAGCGTAAGGATCAAAAAATAAAGTTTAAAAACATGGCTAATCCTGTTGGGAAGTAAGGGTATCAAGTTTTTGTTTTCCAGTGTGGAACCAAGTAGTCGCTTATTTAACATAAGTAGATATTAAGCTACTCCAGTTTCACAAATAGGAAGTTAAAACAGCAAAATTAGTTTTCTTGTACCCAGGGCCAAGGCCACTCATCAGACTGGAGTGCTTAGATACCTCCCAGCCCAGCTCTGCACCCAATAGCACACAGGAGGGTGACTTGGCTAGCATCACAAACACACTCACTTTAGCACTTGGTGTAAAAAAATTATCTGTTCAAACACAAAGGCTTCAGTGTAATTCTGCAGCAGAACTTACAGCTCTGAATTCACAAGAGCCTCAGTACTCACTGCCCTCAGACTCCCAGCAGAGTCCCACTGAGCAATAGGGGATAGGGACTGTTCCCATTTTGGTTCCTGCTCACCACTGATGCATTGGAAGTACATAGAAAAATCAATAGCCAAGAGTAACACTTCCCAGCTTCTGCTGGGATGAGCAAACATCACTCATTTGGGAGTAACCTCAGAGGGCACATCTGAGATTGACCAAATACATGTTTGTTACTTGCTTCCCCCCCAAACACACACTTAGAGAAGTCATTTCTTTTCCTAAATTTGACTCAAAATAGCGTGAAAACAGTAATCCAGCTACGGGCTTTTTGCCCCTATTTAAACCTTCCAGTGACTTTGAAGTTCATGAAAGAGCTCAGACACTCAAAGCATCTCAGTAGATTGTCTAGAAAGGGATCTCATACTCTCAGTGTGTGTCAGAAAGACTGTGGAGGCAGTTGGCATGGAAAAAAAAAAACCAACACACAAACTGATCTTATTTTCCTTCCAGGAGAGTTTAAACTCACTGTCAAGGCTCTTCCAATAAATTTTCTTCGTAAATCTGTAGATAAAGAGATTTCTTCAGAGTTGTCATTTAATATCTTTCACTGGCACTAATATTCACGTGCATCTCTGGAACTGAAGAGAGCTGTCACTGGGGCTGGGCTGCTGGCGAGTGACATTGGTAGCAATTTCTTTCCAAAACAACTAATTTATTAATGTTTTCCTATTCCTCTCCCTGCAGGCACTCACTACGGCACCAATTCAGGCAACATCTGTACCACACCTGGATGTGTTACAGCAGGTAATGATTGTTGCTGTGAATGATTATTGCAGAGGTGGTGTTTTATGTATTGTTAGTTCTACCCAACCTGAATAAACAATATTTAGGACTGAAGTTGCAGAGGAATGCCTGGTTGGGTACTGGGCAGCACACTCGGGCCTCTGGGAGAATTATTCTGCCATTCAGGGGCTTCCTCTGAAAAACAGTACAATTGCAGTGCAAGTGTCTGCTGCTTCCTTGCATTTTTAAGCAGAAAATAAGATACTTTGAGTCCTAATGATGAAAATGAGTGTTATCCACTATAAGCAGCATAAGCAAGGGGCCTGATTGCCATTCTTTGGTAGCCCCAGAGATCACTGGGCAGCCTGTGGAACTCACCTCTCCAATTCTTTGGTACCTAGCTGCTCGAATCATTCAGAATATGGACCCAACAGCTGATCCTTGCAAGGATTTCTACCAGTATGCCTGTGGGGGCTGGCTGAACCGGCACGTTATCCCAGAAACTAGCTCCAGATACAGCATTTTTGACATCCTGAGAGATGAGCTGGAGATCATCCTAAAAGGTAGGAATGCAGCTACTCTGTCCTTGCTTGTGCACTTGTAGATACAGGAAAAGATTCTTGATAGAGCTCCCACTTCCTCCCAAAACTTAAAAAAAAAGGAAAAAAGTATTTTCTTTTAGGTTAAGGCAGCCCAAATCACTCGTCGTGTTCCCAGCCTCAGAGACCACAGTAGGCACACACAGAAAGCAGCCCTTACATTCTTGGCATCTTGATTCTCCACCTGTGAAAGGGGCATAATAATGCCCTTCAGTTTCTTACAGCCATATTACAATAATAACTTTATTAAATCCCATGAGGTGCTTGTCTATTGCAATATCATGGACCTTAATGAGGTAGAGCTTCCTCAGAGCCAGCGACATTGCATGGTAACAATAAGTTTGTTCAGCAATAAGGGAGATTCACATGCATTGGAAACCAATCTTTAATTACCACTTCCTGCAAACAGAAATAAGAGATCATTTAACTCCTTGCTAAACGTATAGCTTTGTCCTTATAAGCAACCTTCCCTTCTGTAGCTAATTTTCACATATGGACACCCAGGATCTGCAAGTGCATCCGTTTCTTTCCGATCTTTGTGTTCTTAGATTCTTCTTCAGATGGTGGGATGAGAATAGCTGCCTTCACACTTGACAGAAGCCTAAGATAACATGACTCTGAAAAAACAGGCAAATTCTCATAGGGGGCAGAATACCAGCTAGAAGAGGAGGCTTAGAGTCCTGGCAGAAGGAACTGGCATCGATTGTTCCCTACCACATTCAGGGAGACAGGTCTGTGCTCACCTTCTTGGAACATTCTGTGTGTGCTCCCAGTAAAGAGGAGACCAGAGCAAAGAAATCCCTGCTCTGCCCTCAGCAGTTCCTCCTGAACACTCACAGCACTGGGAGTGCTGGTGCAGCACTGGGGTCAGGAGAGGTACCAACCTGAAAATTTATATAGTGTGAACTTTAGCAGGGAGTTACACTAGCTCAATAAACCAGAGGAGGGAAAAAAAAAAATAAATAAAACCAGACACCAACCACCTTCTCCCCCATTCTAAAGCCAGTTCTGGAAAAGAAGAGTGAAATAAAAGGGAGATCACATGCCTGTCCTGCCCTTGCTTTTACTGCCTCAGTTAAATCAGCTGGATCTAACTCCAGCTTCCCAAGCCGTAGTGTAAAATAACTCTGTGCTGAGCCTGCAACAATCTATAAATCAGTGTGTTTTCAAACAAGAAGCCGTTCCCATCCGTTGCACCCAAAAGCTGCCAGCACTCTCAGAGCTGGAGGGTTTCAAAAGGTTTGCACCTCTCAGGCTTCCCGCTCCTCCTGCCAGCGCGGCAGCCAAGCGACCTGGCGGCAGATTTCAGAAAAGCTGGAGGAAACTTCGGAGGAGCCGCAGCGGCACGGAGCCTGTGCTGCTTCCAGTGCCCAGCCCTGTCTGCTGCCGTGCTGCAACCCCTCCTCCTCCTCCTCCTCCTCCTGCTGCTGCTCAGGAGCGTTCGCCCGGAGCTGGGAACCGCACACGCTGAGCTCCCAAGTTTGAGCATGGCTCGGAGAAGACCAAGAAGCCGGAGGTCACAAACTCCTGCAGACCTGGGGGCTGACACCTCTTCTAGGAGCCTTCTACTTCCCAAGCACTTCATCTCTGCCGAGGAAAGGGCAGACACAGCCCAAAGGCACTCACACCTGGAAGGAGCTTTTTGGGGATTCTACTGCTGTTAACAGAGCCCTGCAGACCTGCTCGCAGCCACAGGGGAAGATTCTTCGAAACAGCAAGAGGCTTTCGAAGTGGGGAGTGGAAGGAGGCAGTTTTTCCCCTCCTTCCCTGTTTGGGAGAAAGGAGTTGCCCAACCTGGTCATGAGACTTTTCCATCCTTCCCAAAGCGGGCTCCTGGAGTTGGGACACGGCACCACTGAGAGCCTGGGGTAGAGTAGCCCACAACAGCCCCCAGCAGCACACCCCCAGCACGGACAATCTGGTGGGCACAGGAGATGGAGAATGAGGTTGGCAAGTCTGTGGACAATCAAATGGACAAATACATGTAATAATTTGGAAGTTTTCTTTCTCTCTGCTTTTAATTCTCCTCCCTTTTTCTCCCTGATTTGTCATGCATTTATGCCTCTATTGATTTAGCTGTGCTGTTAATTCTTTTTTACCCTCCCCTCCTCAATTTAGAGTTACAATAATGGGGAAATCAGAAAGTCAAATGGATATTGTGGAAAAATCAACAAAATCTGGGAAGAAATCCTGGAGCTTTGTGGCAATTGGTCTGGCTGTCTTGCTGCTCCTCATGACTTGTGCAGTGGTCGCCCTGGTGATCCTGTATGCCAGCAGCAGAGGTAAGGAACCCATGAATAATTCTCCTCTTCCCTTTGCAAACAACATACAAGTCTTTTTACAGAGCTAAATGAAAACACAAATACAGGGAGACGGTGAAGTCACCTCTGTGAGGGACTTGGCTATCCCTGCCTTGTTCCAAGCTCATGCACAGAGGGGATTATGTTGAATTTGATTTAATTTTTAAATTATGTAATGTTAGATTCTATGGTTTTAATTAATTCTATGCATTTTATTGAATTCAGCATAGTTTTGAAAAAGGTAAAAAAAATATTGCACAATTTTAGAGGGAAAGCTGTGTGCCTGTGTAAGCCTTGACATTTCCTTATTTCATAGAAGCCTCAGTCAAAATTCATTATTGCTGGGAGTTATAAAGCAACAGCTGCTTAATACATCTAAAGGGGAGATTGACTTATTATGATGTGAAAGCTTTTGGGTTGTTTTTTTTTTAAAAAAAAAGCCAGTGTGCTGCTGAGGAAAGGGAGCAATTTGATTTCTAGGTGAGATTTGGTTCAGTGACTTTCATGCAAATGTCATGCTTGGAACCTGACACTGGGGCATATTCCTGTGAGGTGCTTTGCCTAAATGGGAACTGCAGAACATCCTTAGTCTCAAAACTAAGTTTTTCCACTAGCACACCAAATGCAACGTCTTATTTTAAAACCCCACGAAGCAATCAACATGATTGGTAGCAGCACCTGCCTCTCATTTGTCATTGCTATGAATGCCTCTTGGATTCAGAGCTTTTTTTAAAAAACACTCGGGAATAAACCCGAGAAGTAACGAATAGCAAAACTGAAGCAAAGAATTGTTCCCTCCTTACATTGTCTCTGCATCCCCTGCCTGCAGGGAACTGCTTTCTTCAGCACTTGTAAGTACAATGCTGCACAATTCTGAGCAAAAATTCATGAGAACAGCCTTTTTATTATCTACTGCTTTTGCTACCAGCAATGAATGTTACCAGCATTTTTTCCCAGTGTTAGAGGAAATCTCTGAGTATTTGGCATTCATCACACTCATCAGAAAGTTGCTTATATTTATTCTCCTAGCTCAGGAGACAGGAGGAAAAAAAAAAAATCCCTAGGGCTAGGTCCTAGAGTAGGAGTTTCTGTATCAAAACACTGAGCTGTGCAGAATTGTGTTGCTTTCAGGCATAAAGGATTTGAGAACTCTGCTCTACATCTTACTGCCTGGGCTCAGGCACAGTGGAATTCAGGTATTCATAATATTTACCCAAATGCTGGTGTCTCATCCAAAGCCATGGGAAAAGTGTGCACGTAAAGCAAGTGCTATTACTTTTTTTTTTTTTGGATGAGTCTTATCTGGGAGAAAGCAGTTCCAAAATCTAAATATTTTGCAGGCTCATTTCACTAGAAATGTTGCCCAGATTCAGACATTCCTAAGCAAAACGTGAGTGCAAAGGGATGGTGGAGCTGATAAGCTGCTCGTCCTGCACAGCTCCTCCTGGCTGCTTGCTCCTGCCTCAGAGGAGTGTTCTCAGCACCAACCCAGAGCCAGCTTCTCCCCCTCCCAGGTCACATTTAAGTACATATAATTGAACCACTGCGACAGGAGACACCACAATGTACCCTCAAACAACCTTTAGGGGATCCACAGGTAGGAACGGATCAGCAGGAACTTCAGTCTACACCATCTTTGAGATGAGTGTCTCTGTGCACTGCTTGGCTCTAACACGGAAAGTGAGAGCTCTTCAGTGCAACCAGTGAGTGTTCCTGCAGAACAGGAACCTTTTTTGGCTTGAAAATTTCATCCAAATACTCCACTTGGTTCTGTTTTGATGTTACATCCAGGCTCATCCCCAGGCAAATCGTTCTCAGACTTCCCAAGTGAAAAGCGCGTATTGCTCAAAACTGTGCAGCATAAATATAAATCCTACACAGCAACAGGAAAAAAAGAAAAGGTAGCTGAGCAGCATTCTTGTGATAGAACCAAGATTCTTTAAATTTCACTCAATTGTTAATTTTGAGATGTGTATGGGATGCTGAATTGTTTACTAAGAGCAGATTCAGATTCAGCACTTCATCCTTGTACATCCTTTATCAGATTGACTCTACCCACAGAGGCTTCTATAAAATAATTCTGTTAAGCTAATGGAAAATTAAAAGGATTACCTGCTCTGCCTTATGTTCTCTATTTATATCTGAAGGTTTTGTGGTTCAGGGAATATATTTTTGTTCTGCTTGTTTACAGCTTGCAGGAGAGCACTGTGGTGCATGAAACAGCCTCTGGTTACAGCAATAATGCCTGTTAATACTGACCAATCTTTATCTATACAGCCAGACAGCAAAACCAGAAACTCTCACAGCAATGCAGTTATGTAGTTCTAGAAGCAGTTTGGTGATTTTTTTGACATCCAGAGAAGTTTTCATACCCATAAAACCTTGTCTAAATAACCTAAAGGAAAAATATGGTAGGAATAGCAGAGCAATATTTGGGTGATCATAGAAAGGGAGGCAGACAGAACTGAAATCATTCAGTTTTCAATCTGAATGCACCATGCTCTCAATCTTTCCATCACACCCACACGTACATCTTTGCAGCCTTTTCACAGCTCGCTCTCAGTTCTGTTCTACAAATATTTACTAAACTCCAGCTCTCATCACTGGTTGGAAAGGTTACAGTCTGAAGAACATTTCAACACCTCTTGTAGCTGACACATCCAGTCACAGTCAGTGACTTCTCCAGACAACTTTGAGTTACAAACAGCTTACATTCTCCCCTAACTGCTGGTCCTGACTATTCAAAAAGTCACATTATTAGTTTAATTGAGGTTTTATTCTCTTTCTGGCTTCCAAGTTTGCAGGGTTTCTCACAAGTAAGATTCGCAGATATGTTTTTTTTTTGTGTCTGCATCCCCACAGGTTGTCACTGTTCACATCTATTACACAGACTGCCAGGCAGGCTACAAACAAACAAACAGAGAAATACAACACTTGGACTAAGCAGCACCTTGTTCCAGGAGTGGATTTCAAAAAGCGATGTTATCCTCCTGCATTTCCTGGGCTGTGAATGCAATTAACATGCACTTGAATAATAGATTCGCAAGAACCTGCTGACTGGGGGCAGTATCTAAACTGGTCACTGGGACACTGAGAAGTGGTTGTGGCTGAGGTCTGGCTTGTCTCCTAGACTGGTGCCTACTCAGTCTTTGACTTTGTTAACGTTCATTAACGAGGCATCTATTCAAAGGAGATGGAGAATTTAAATAAGTGGCAGTAACACAAAAGTCATGAGGAAATGACATTTGGGTGGTGAGACTCTGCTCAGTTCTACTCAGAGCTACACGAATGTGAAGCAGGAATGGGGAGT